TAAGTGGTTAGATTCTTTTTAAAAACAAAATTTCCACTTTACCATAGCACTAAAGCAATACACACTCAGTAGAATCCATGGATTTTTGAATTGGGATCTCTTCCTGGGCTAAAAATTTTATACAGTATGGTCTTTACTCCCTCTGCTGGTTACTGGCAGTAACCACAGCCAGTCCTGTATCTTGAGAGAAAACAATTGATATTCTATAGTGTACTGCTTCACTAAACTAGTGTGATCAGTAGGTTAGATGAATGAAACATTTTTTAATATATAAATTTAATTTTTTAACTTTCATTTTATTTGAAATTCAGAGAGAAAGAGACATAAAAAGAAATCTATCAGGCTCATTTGCTCCCTCTACAAAATATGAATAACCTATTTTATAACATGTGGAGCATATCTGTGGTTTTTGGGGTGTTTATGAATTATTTATTAGTTTCTTAACTACTTTCTTAGTTTATTCTACTTCTGTACATCATTTTTCTGGCTGAGAATGTTATGCTAAATACCCATATAGCCCATGAAAGTTTATAGCTGATATTCTAATTTTCAGGATTGCCTGGAAATTCCAATATTAGTACTTGACCTTTCTTCTGGGAATGGAAAAGCCATGGCTAAGTGACACCAGGCTAAACACTGCTCTCAATGCTTTGTAATGCACTGCCAAAGGGTTGGCATGCAGTTGAACAAAAGTTATCATCATCACTATTTTGGATTTTTTAAAGGCCACATATATTTATAAATTTAAAAGAGACTCTTACATTGTACATTAGAAGATTTTAAAAATCCAAAAATCATGATAGTACTCTAGATACATCTCAAAAATTAACAACAAATTTGTCTTGGAAGTAGTGTTTAATAACATGTCATCAAACAGAGAGCATACTGTTCTTGGCAGAATTCATTTATTTCACACAAGGAGCTGAGTTCATATACTTGGTAAATCAAAAGATTTAAACTCTAAAAAAATAACTTATGGAACAAATGAATATAAGCAAATTCCTTTTCATAGTGGTGTCACTCATAAAAATTAAAACTTTATATTAAAATTGGAAGATGAGAGCTACTATAAAGCATAAATAGAGAAAACAAAATTAATGAATATTAGTTAGAAATTTACTATGTTGGGGCCAGCGCCATGGATCACTCTTCTGCCTGGAGTGCTGGCATCCTATATGGGTGTCAGGTTCTAGTCCCAGTTGCTCCTCTTCCAGTCCAGCTCTCTGCTGTGGCTGGGAGGGCAGTGGAGGATGGCCCAAGTGCTTGGGCCCCTGCACCCACGTGGGAGACCAGGAGGAAGCACCTGGCTCCTGGCTTCGGATCAGCATAGCTCTGGCCATAGCGGCCATTTGAGGAGTGAACCGACAGAAAGAAGACCTTTCTCTCTGTCTCTCTCTCTCACTATCTATATCTCTACCTGTCAAATAAATAAAAAAAAGAAATTTGTGATGTTTTGCATGAGAATTATAATGACTGCCTAAAAGTTTGAAATTGTCATCAATTGTAATGCTCATCTAAGCTATTATTTGTAAAAAAGCAATATTGCATTCCATACATTGCTTGAATATAAATATTCACTAGACATGTATTTTTAGTTATGCCATTATTTTAAAGATTTATTTATTTATTTGAAAGTCAGAATTACAGAGAGAGACAGAGACAGAGACCTTCCACCTGCTGGTTCATCCCCCAGATGATTGCAACGGACAGGGCAGGGCCAGCCCAAAGTCAGGAGCCAGAAGTTTCATACAGATCTCTCACATGAATGGTAGGGACCCAAACTTGAGCCATCCTCTGCTGCTTTTCCCAGGTAATCAGCAGGGAGCTGGATCAGAAGTGAAGCGGCCAGAACATGAACCAGCATCCATATGGGATGTTAGGATCTCAAGCAGTGGCTTTACCTAGTGTGACCCATTGCCAGCCCCTACATCATTACTTTAGTTCTTACTAACTAATCTCTCTTTTTTTTAACCTTTTTTTTTTTTTTTTTTTGGACAGGAAGAGTGGACAGAGAGAGAGACAGGGAGAAAGGTCTTCCTTTACCGTTGGTTCACCCTCCAATGGCCACGCTGATCCAAAGCCAGAAGCCAGGTGCTTCTCCTGGTCTCCCATGCGGGTGCAGGGCCCAAGCACTTGGGTCATCCTCCTCTGCGCTCCCGGGCCACAGCAGAGAGCTGGACTGGAAGAGGGGCAACCGGGACAGAATCCGGTGCTCCAACCGGGACTAGAACCCGGTGTGCTGGCGCCGCAAGGCAGAGGATAAGCCTATTGAGCCATGGCACCGGCCAACTAACTAATCTCTTATCTTCCTTTCCTTGTCTGTTATGTGAAAGGCATTTTATTATGTTATCAATTAATAACATTGTTTGCATGAATTTCAAGGTAATAGCTTTTAGATTTACTTGAAAACAATATCAAGTGACATTTTTCTCAATGTGTTGAACACAGTCACTATAAACCTCCATTAGTATAAGAATTTAAGAAATGTTTATCCATAGGTTCTTTTGTCATCAGGAAACATGAGTAACTTTGAAAAAATCAAAAAATAATCTAATTCCTGTGAAATATGTTTCATTTTCAATCAGTCAATTGAAAGCTCCAAATTAACCCCATAGATTTAGTGCTTGACTAATAATTAATAAAACAAGATGATATACAAAGTAAGTTTAACTATATTGTTAATATAAGGAACATATATTATGCACATGTTATAAAATTTAAAGAAGAAATTAATAGTCTGTTGATAGTCTGTTGCAAGTGGCTTCTTTCACTAAGCATGATATTTTCATTTCATCCATATTGTAGCATGCATCAGTGCTTTATTTCCATTTATTTGCAAATAAAAATCAGTGAAGCAAATGAAAAAATATTTGACTTAGAAAACAAATCACAGGAAATTATACCATTGTACCTGAGTGAGTGCAAACAGAGGAGCACCACACACTGATAAAATTCGATGGTCCTTTATTGCCGGCAGTGCTATAAAGAACTCTAAAGAACTCTTTTTTTTTTTTTTTTGGACAGGTAGAGTTATATACAGTGAGAAAGAGAGACAGAGAAAGGTCTCCCTTCCATTGTTTCCCTCCTCAAATGGCCGCCACAGCTGGTGATGCACCAATCCGAAGCCAGGAGCCAGATGCCTCTTCCTAGTCTCCCATGTGAGTGCAGGGGCCCAAGCACCTGGGCCATCCTCCACTGCCTTCCTGGGCCACAGCTCTCAGTGGAGTTTTAATATGAAAAATGCTTGCTTTCCCCAAAGGTTGTCATTAGCAAGGTCAAAAGTCCCTGTCTGCCTACTCTTTAGGAGTTTCCAATCTTATCCTGAGAAGAGTAAGGGAGTGGTGATTACTTCTGAGCTTCCAACTTACTGTAAAGCAAATTAGGTATCCCACCCTTCTGATGGTTCTTTTTGTTTTATCATGAGCAAGCCAGACAGGATAAAAGATTGCAAATCAGGTCTTTTGATGGGTTTTGTCTCTGCTTGTAACTACATGTCAAGTTTTTTTCTTTCCCAAAATTGTGCTTAAAACCCCAGTACCAAGAGCCTCTTTAGGTTTGCCTCTCTTGAAGCCCCCATCCATGCCACTCTGGCTAGAGGTATTTGACTCTAATAAATCTTGCTATTAAATCTCAAAAATAAATGGGATACAGCAAAAGCAGTGTTAAGAGAGAAATTCATAGTAATTGATGCCTAATGAAGAAATTGGAAAGGCATCAAATACATGAACTATCAATGCATCTCAAGGACTTAGAAAAACAACAGCAACCCATACTCAAAATTAATAGTAGGAGGAAAGACATAATTGAAATTAGAGAATAAATAAACAAAATTGAAATAAAAAATACAAAAGATCGGTGAAGTAGAGATTTTTTTTAAAAAATTAACAAAACTGATATGCCATTGCCCCAACTAGCCAATAAAAGAAGGAGAAGATCCAAATCAATAAAATCAGGGATTAAAAAGGATCTATAAAAACAGAGACCACAGAAATAAAAACAATCATTAGGATTTATTACAAAGAACTGTATGCCAAAAAATTGGGAAACCTAAAAGAATTGGAGAGAATCCTGGACACATTAAACCTACCAGGAGTGAGCCATGAAGATATTGAAAACCTAAACAGACCCATAACCAAGACATAGGTTGAAACAGTATAAAGACCTTCCCAACAAAGAAAAAGCCCAGGCTTCACTGCTGAATTCTACTAGACATTTAAAGAAGAACAAACTCCAATTCTTCTCAAGCTATTCAAAACAATAAAAGGGAGGGAATCCTCTCAAATTCTTTCTATGAAGACAGCATCACCTTAATTCCTAAACCTGAAAAAGACACAACATAAGAAAGAGAACTACAGACCAATTTCCCTGATGTACTTAGACACAAAAATCCCCAACAAAATTCTAGCCCAAAGAATCCAACAACATATCAGACAGATCATACACCTGGGCCAAATGGGATTTATCCCTGTTATGCAGGGATGGTTAAATATCTGCAAATCAATCAACGTGATATATCACATTAACAAACTGAAGAATAAAAATCATATTATTGTCTCAATAGATGCAGAAAAAACATTTGTTAAAATACATCACCCTTGGCCCCGCATCCCATCCTTTCCCCCACCCCGGCCCTACTTACCTCCCGTCTCCTCCTCTCTTCCCCTTCCCTTCCCAGCACCGCCACCCTCAGGGCTGGAGAGGCCTCTCGGACGCGAGAGAGAGCAGGCGAGGCAGGGGAGGGAGGTTGCAACTTCAGAACTCCGCACTTGTGATAGGGAGCGAGCGAGGGAGGCAGAAGGAGATAGAGGGAAGGGGCGGAGAGGCGAGGAGAAGTGAGGCGAGGAGAGAGAGAGGGAGAGAGAGGGGGAGAGAGAGAGAGAGAGAGAGAGAGAGAGACCGACCCTTGCCGATCCCCAGCCAGAGGGCGCGTGGCGGGAGGGGAAGGAGTCGCCCGGCCGTCCGGGAGCGGCCGCAGCGCACCGCCGCGGAGGCGCGAGCAGCCCCGCGGCCGCCTCCGCCGCCTGCCCGCAGCGCTGTCCCCCGCGGTTCCGCTCCCCTGGCAGCTGCGCCCGCGCCCGCGCCGCCGCCCGCGCCCTGGCCGAGCGGAGCGCAGCCGGGGAGCGCGGACGCCGTGGTCTTCGCCTTTCTCGCAGCTCGCCGGCGGCTGCCCGCGGCTCCGAAGGAGGCGGACGGTGAGCGGGCGCCCCGGGCGCCCTTTTCTTCTTTCGGTCGGAGTTGAATCTCTGCTGCCCGAGTCCAGGTGCTGGACTTCCGGACCGACGCGGACGCCCCTCTCCCGCCCGCGGCCGCCTTGTCATGCTGCCCAAAGTGGAGACGGAAGCGCTGGGACTGGCTCGGTCGCATGGGGAACAGGGGCAGATGCCGGAAAACATGCAAGTGTCTCTATTTAAAATGGTGAATTACTCCTACGATGAAGACCTCGAGGAGCTGTGCCCGTGTGTGGAGATAAAGTGTCTGGCTATCACTATGGACTGCTCACCTGTGAGAGCTGCAAGGGGTTTTTTAAGCGAACAGTCCAAAATAATAAAAGGTACACTTGTATAGAAAACCAAAGCTGCCAGATCGACAAAACACAGAGAAAGCGTTGTCCTTACTGTCGATTTCAGAAATGTCTGAGTGTTGGAATGAAGCTGGAAGCTGTAAGAGCCGACCGCATGCGGGGAGGAAGGAACAAGTTTGGGCCAATGTACAAGCGAGACAGGGCCCTAAAACAACAGAAGAAAGCCCTCATCCGCGCTAACGGCTAACGGACTGAAGCTGGAAGCCATGTCGCAGGTGATCCAGGCCATGCCCTCTGAGTTGAGCATCTCCTCTGCGATCCAGAACACGCACTCTGCCTCCAAAGGCCTACCTCTGAACCACGCTGCCTTGCCTCCCTCAGACTACGACAGAAGTCCCTTTGTCACCTCCCCCATTAGCATGACAATGCCACCTCCTGGCAGCCTGCAAGGTTACCAAGCATATGGCCACTTTCCGAGCCGGGCTATCAAGTCTGAGTACCCGGACCCCTACAGCAGCTCTCCCGAGTCCATCCTAGGCTACTCCTACGTGGACAGCTACCAGACCGGCTCCCCGGCCAGCATCCCGCAGCTCATCCTGGAACTTCTGAAGTGCGAGCCGGAGGAGCCGCAGGTGCAGGCCAGGATCATGGCCTACTTGCAGCAGGAGCAGGCCAACCGGAGCAAGCACGAGAAGCTGAGCACATTCGGGCTGATGTGCAAGATGGCGGACCAGACGCTCTTCTCCATCGTGGAGTGGGCCAGGAGTAGTATTTTCTTCAGAGAACTTAAGGTTGACGACCAAATGAAGCTGCTTCAGAACTGTTGGAGTGAGCTCCTAATCCTGGACCACATTTACCGGCAGGTGGTGCACGGGAAGGAAGGATCCATCTACCTGGTTACTGGACAACAAGTGGACCACTCCATAATAACAGCACAAGCAGGTGCCACGCTCAACAACCTCATGAGTCATGCCCAGGAGTTGGTGGTAAAACTTCGCTCTCTCCAGTTTGATCAACGGGAATTTGTGTGTCTGAAATTCTTGGTGCTCTTTAGTTTAGATGTCAAAAATCTTGAGAACTTCCAGCTGGTAGAAGGTGTTCAGGAACAAGTGAACGCTGCCCTCCTGGACTACACCATGTGTAACTACCCGCAGCAGACAGAGAAGTTCGGGCAGCTCCTGCTGCGACTTCCGGAAATCCGGGCCATCAGCATGCAAGCTGAAGAATACCTCTACTACAAGCACCTGAACGGGGACGTGCCCTACAATAACCTCCTCATTGAGATGCTGCATGCGAAAAGAGCCTAGGCCACAGCACCCCAGCAGCTCTGCTTTCCAAACAGAAGGAGACGGGGAAGAAGGAGGGAATTAAAAGAAATAAAATACTCTGAAGTGCTCCAAGCAACACATTAAAGACTTGGTTGGAAGACAGTGACTTTCCAAAGGCATAATCATCAGATACTTAACGGCAAATAAATGATGTATCAGGGTATTTGTATTGCAAACTGTGAATCAAATGCTTCTCCTCCCCAAAGGATTCCATATCAAAGACATTGGAAGGAAATGGACTGAGCTCACAGGTGGATGCCAACACTGTCAGAATAAAAAATGGACAGAACAATTCTTGTATATTTAAGCTGATCTCCGCTATGAAGAAATTGAGGAACTGATCTGCACCGTTAATTAGGCTTGTACAGGGGGGATCCTGAGCGTCCCGGATTCCTCCATGGTACGGCTGAACGGGACCCTCCGGAGAGCATCAGCCGCACCTACAGCGGCTGCTCCCTCCACCTTCAAACGCCCCAGCACCTTCTGGCCCTGTGACCACCGAATCTCTACCAGGGACCTGCGTTCTGCCACACCCAGTAGTGGCTCCACCAGACCGTGAAAAGCCTGGTTTTGAATGTGTGTGTGTCCTAGACTCCAAACAGCCAGAGAGCGCAGTCTGTCAATATGTTGAGCTCGCCATCTAAATGGTCATGTCAACAAGCAGGCAGTGTCTTGCTTCTGTCTTACTCTGAGCCCTCATTCGTGTTAAGGAAAGTGACTGCAAACTTTTCCAGCAAATGCTCCCCTAGCTAAAGCCAGTGAAACCTTATTTCTGCTGCTGTTGCTGAAATGTGGCTTTCGCATTGTTGGATTTCATTTAAAAAAAAAAAAAATCTGGCCAAACGGCTTGTTAGGATGCATCCGTCTTTCTAATCATCGAGGTTGGTAGTTCATTTAAAAATAAAGCGTTAAATATGTTTTCCTGGGATGTCAAAACGGTCACAGTCCTAGGTAGTCAAAAACAAAACCGAAGCATGTTGAGCTATGCAAACAGGAAACAAAAGATGAGCTGATGGATTCATTGACTTACGAGTCATTGCTGTTGCAATTGAACATCCCCGAAGCGTAGGGTGATTGTTACCTATGGCCTGGAAAGGAATGAGACAATGCAGTCTTCCTCAAAGAGCAAAGGCAGGCTGACCTCCCCAGAGCAAAGTCTGCTGTTGAACAAATATTGGAGGACACAGCATTGCAAACAGACTCTCCAAAAACACTAGCAGTATTATTAATTAACATGCAATGCCGCAGGTACAAAAGTCTTGCCTTATTTCAAAATTCTAAAAGGTAGCTGTGCAGATGTGGATCAACAGTTGTTTAAAATAAAGTATTAACACTTTAAAGTCAAAAAAAAAAATACATCACCCTTTTATGATGAAAACTCTCAGCAAATTGGGTATAGAAGGAACGTTCCTCAACAAAATCAAGGGAATTTATGACAAACCCATGGCCAGTGTCCTATTGAATGGGGAAAAGTTGAAAGCATTCCCACTGAGATCCAGTACCAGACAAGGATGCCCACTCTCACCATTACTATTCAATGTAGTCCTGGAAGTTTTAGCCATGGCCATTAGACAAGAAAAAGCAATCAAATAGATACAAATTGGGAAAGAGAAGTCAAACTATCCTTATTGAAGATGATATGATTTATATTCTTTATATATTCTATATTCTATATATAGTCTATATTCTATATATAGGTGATCCAAAAGACTCTATCAAGAGACTCTTGGCACTCATAGCAGAGTTTGGCAAAGTAGCAGGATATAAAATCAATGCACAAAAATCAACAGCCTTTGTATACAAAGACAATGCCATGGCTGAGAAAAAAACTTCTAAGATCAATTTCACTCACAATACCTACCAAAAAAATCAAACACCTTGGAATAAATTTTACCAAGGATGTCAAAGATTACAACATGAATTACAAAACGATAAAGCAAGAAGTAGAAGAAAAAACAAAAAATGAAAAATTTTTCATGTTCATGGATTGGAAGAATCAATTTCATCAAAATGTCCATTCTTCTGACAACAATCTACAGATTCAGTGTGATACCAGTCAAAAGACCAATGACATTTTCCTCAGATATAGAAAAAAATTATACTGAAATTAATATGGAAACAAAGGAAACTTTGAATAGCTAGAATAAATTTGTACAACAAAACCTAAGGTGGAAGCATCACAGTACCAGATTTCAAGACATACAGCAAGGCAGTTATAATCAAAACAGCCTCATACTGGTGCGAAAGCAGGTTGATAGACCAATGGAACAGAATTGAAACCCCATAAATCAATACAGGCATCTACAACAAACTTATATTTGACCAAGGAGCAAGACAGTCTCTTTAACACATTGTGCTCGGAAAACTGGATTTCCACATGCAAATTTATGAAGCAGGACCCCTACCTTACACCTTACACAAAAATCCATTCAAAATGGATTAAAAACCTAAATCTATGACCTGATATCATCAAGTTATACAGAACAGTGGGGAAACCCTGCAGATATTGGCAAAGTCAAAGAGACCCCAGATGCACAATCAAAGCCAAATTAACAAATGAAATTATATCAAATTGAGAAGCTTCTATATAGCAAAAAAACACTCAAGAAAATGAAGAGGCAACCAACAGAATGGGAGAAATTATTTGAAGCTATGCAATTGATAAAGGATTAAATACCAGAATATATAAAGAGATTAAGAAACTACACAGTAACAAAACAAACAACCCAATGAAGAAATGGGCAAAAGACTTAGACATTTTTCAAAAGAGGAAATAGAATGGCCAACAGACACATGAAAAAATGATTGGGATCACTATCCATCAGGGAAATGCAAATCAAAACCACAATGAGGTTTCACCTCACCCCATTTAGAATGGCCTTCATGCAGAAATCAACAAGCAACAAATGCCAGTGAGGATGTGGGGGAAAAGGCACCCTAATCCACTGTTGGTGAGAATGTAAACAGGTAAAACCACTATGGAAGACAGCATGGAGATACCTCAGAATACTGAATATAGACTCACCATATGACCCAGAATTCCCAAGGGATATAAAATCAGCAAATAAAAGAGTTATCTGCACCCCCTTGTTTATTACAGATCATTTCACAATTGCTAAGGCATGGACTCAATCTGAATGCCCCTCAGATGAATTCTGGATAAAGAAGTTATGGGATATGTATTCTATGGACTATTACACAGCAGTAAAAAAAATGAAATCTGACCACTTACGACATAATGGATGAATCTGGAAAACATCATATTTAGTGAAATGAGCCAGTTCCAAAGGCACAAATAGCATATGTTGTCCCTGATATGTGGTAACTAATAGAGCACCTAAAGGGTGATCTGAAGAAGTGATATTGACCCTTTGAAAAGCAATGACTTTAGGCGGAGCCAAGATGGCAGAATAGTGAGGACACGCACTGATAGTCCAGGAAAAGATAGTTGAATAAAAGTGGAGTTATTGTAGTCTCAGGAAAAGGCTCGGGAAAAAATTGCAGAGGAAATATGACCAAAGGAGATCCTCACCACAACACGATGTAATTAAACTCACCACAGTGAAACATAAAGAAAAGATCCTAAAATGTGCAAGAGAGAAATGTCAGATTACTCTCAGAGGATCTCCAATTAGACTCACAGCTGACTTCTCAACAGAAACCTTACAGGCTAGGAGGGAATGGCGAGATATAGCCCAGGTACTAAGAGAGAAAAACTGCCAGCCCAGAATATTATATACTGCAAAGCCCTCATTTGTGAATGAAGGTGAAATAAAGACCTTTCATAGCAAACAGAAATTGAAAGAATTTGTCACCACTCGTCCAGCCCTACAAAAAATGCTTAAAGATGTGTTACATACATAAACACAAAAACACAGCCATCAATATGAAAGCATGTAAAGGAAGGATACCTACCAGTAAAAGATCATAGGAAACTCAAAGCATATACTAGAAAATATCTTTGGGAAAATGGCAGGGCAAAGTCACTACTTATCAATAGTCACATTGAACATTAATGGGCTCTACTCTCCAGTTAAAAGGCAAAGACTGGCTGAATGGATTAAGGAACAAAACCCATCTATTTGCTGCCTACAAGAAACACATCTTTCCAACAAAGATGCAGGCACACTGAAAGTGAAAGGTTGGAAAATGCTATTCCATGCCAACAGAAACCAAAACAAAGCAGGTGTAGCCATACTAATATCAGACAAAATAAACTTTAACACAAAAACTGTTAAGAGAACAAAGAGGGACACTATATAATGATTAAGGGTTCAATTCAACAGGAAGATGTAACTATTATAAATGTATATGCACCTAATTACAGGGCACCGGTTTATTTAAAAGGTATGTTAAGGGACTTAAAGGGAGACTTAGATTCCAATACAATAGTACTGGGGGAATTCAATGCTCCACATTCAGAAATAGACAGATCACTGGAAAGAAAATCAACAAGGAAACAGCAGATTTAATCGACACTATTGCCCAAATGGATCTAACAGATATCTACAGAACTTTCAATCCTACCTACATTTAAAGATTTTACATTCTTCTCAGCAGTGCATGGAACCTTCTCTAGGATCAAACACACACCAGGCAATAAAGCAAGTCTCAGCAAATTCAAAAGAATTAGAATATACCATGCAGCTTCTCAGACCACAGTGGAATGAAGGTGCAAATTAGCAACTCAGGAATCCCTAGAGAGTATGCAAAAACATGGAGAATGAACAACATGCTCCTGAATGAACACTGGGTCATAGAAGACATTAAAAGAGAAATCAAAAAGTTTCTGGAAGCAAATGAGGATAACAACACAACATATCAAAACTTATGGGATACGGCAAAAGCAGTGTTGAGAGGAAAGTTTATAGAAATAGGTGTCTACATCAAGAAATTGGAAAGGCACCAAATAAATGAGCTTTCAACACATCTCAAGGATCTAGAAAAACTGCAGCAAACCAGACCCAAATCTAGTAGGAGAAGAGAAATAATCAAAATCAGAGAAGAAATCAACAGGATTGAATACAAAAAAAAATTACAAAAAATCAGCCAAGCGAAGAGCTGGGTTTTTTGAAAAAAATAAACAAAATTGACATCCCATTGGCCCAACTAACTAAAAAAAGAAGAGAAAAGACCCAAATTAATAAAATCAGAGATGAAAAAGGAAACGTAACAACAGACACCACAGAAATAAAAAGAATCATCAGAAATTACTACAAAGAGTTGTATGCCAGCAAACAGGGAAACCTATCAGAAATGGATAGATTCCTGGACACATGCAATCTACCTAAATTTAGCCATGAAGACATAGAAAAAATAAACATACCCATAACTGAGACAGAAATTGAAACAGTAATAAAGGTCCTCCCAATAAAGAAAAGCCCAGGACCAGATGGATTCACTGCTGAATTCTACCAGACATTTAAAGAAGAACTAATTCCATTTCTTCTCAAACTATTCAG